CTACTAGGGATATTGTAGTCCATAGTCCCTGGTAACTGACTGCTGCAAAAGAAATGTTTCTACATTCTAGTTGGAACTGTTGCAGTTGGAATTTTTCCCATGCTTCACCAAAGGTATGACAAGACCCTGATAATTTTACAGGCAAAAGAATAATTTCTGTATATTAAATAAAAACTGTAGGGCACTTCTCGTTTGTGTAATGCTAAGCTGATGGTCAGAAATAAGGCTGAGAACACTTTTCCAAAGCAGATCTCATGCAACCATACAGAAAATTACTCACACTCCACCTCCGCTGAGGTGTTACACGCTTGATGTTTGGATGATCTTCTAGCGTCAGTACTCCATCTTTCTGTTTCTCATTGATCTGAATAACTTCAAAATCACTAGGATAGTCACTGGCTGGGTTGTTGCGAGGTACAATCCTCCAGTTCTCAATATCACTACTTTTTAGTGCACTTGAAATAAATTTACTTCTAGCTTTAGCTGTGAAGTATCCATTAAAAGCCACAATATACTCTGGAACAAGAGCACAACTTATCAGAACTGATGTTTAAGCAGCTTACTCATGCATTCACATTGCAAATGTCCAAATATTTCTTTTTTCTTTAGCCAAAACAAATAAATCACAACTTCAGACATCTTTCTGTTGCCTTTAGGAATCTGCAGTTTATTTCTACACTATATAATGCTTTTTTTTTTCCCTCAGGAAACCTGAAAAAATACGATAAAAACCTTTGAAAGGAACGTAGAATTGTAAATATCATGGAAAGGTGAAATAACGTGGGGGAGCAGGGGAAAGGTTAACAGACTGACTGTTACATCCAGCAGTGCAAGCAACTGCTTGATATGCCGATTCAACGTTTCTTCACATGTATGATTTAAAGACAGCTAGCCTCTATACAGTACTGAGTTTTAGTGGAAATTACTGACACCAAGTACAACATGCACAGAGAATGAAGCCGGTCCCAACAGTCCAGTCCTTGATCTGGATTAGTGGTTTGTGTGCGGACCCCAGCCGCGGCGCACACCACCATATTCACCACAGTAAGCCTTTGGCTAATGACGCACAGAAACGTCACTACGGACACCCCACCTGTAAGCACCCAGGCACACACAGCTTCACTGCGGAAACATTACAGGTACCTGAGGCAATAAGAGGATGCAGGGTCAAGGCATCCTACTGCTATCCTTTGCCATCTCAGCAGCAATATCTGCCTCACTTTGCCTTTCATCTGCTCCCTTCATAATTACCTTTGCAATTTTTCCACACACATACTATTGCTTCCAAACTTTTTCTTGAACAAACCCACAGAGATTTCTTGCCTTTCTCACCCTTTCAGGGCCCACTTGTGGTTACATTTCATAAAAGAGCCTCAACCATACACCAGCTGGGTCGAAATAAACAGCTACTAAACACACCAAAGTCACCAGAATTGCCCACCTGAGCCTTCACATTATTTTCACTTTTAACATCCTCTTTATTTCCCTCTCTCTTCCTTCTCTTGTTCTTTGAATCTTGTCTCCATTTACCTTTGAAAAAAATCTGTTTCTCTTTTTGAATATAGAGAATTTAGCAGACAATATGCTTCTACAGAAACTCTCTGAATGTTACAATTGCACAAACACCACAAATCAGTAACATACAGTTGAACTTCACAGGGATTTTTTTTTTACCGCATAACTATTTATTACCATGCTCCACGACTGTCGAAGTGAATTCCACTTTCAAAGTAAGGCGAGAACATCCAGGACATATGTGAGCCTCGTGAGAGGAATTCCCTAGTCTGGTACCGAAGTGTTTTTTGCCACAGAGTAATATAACAACCAGAACAAGCCAGATGTTTGCAAACTTCATGGTCATAGAAGAAAATGGTTTCATTCCAAAAATTCCATATATGCAAATCACAATTTTCTTCTTTATAAACTAGTTCATTTTTGTTTCAGTAAACGTTGCTTTCGCTGTGCTGATCAACTGGATATTCTTAAAGCTGTGTCCAAAATAAGTAGAGATTTCATGGTCTTTTGAGGTAAAGCCTTACAAATAGGCTCATTTCTTTCTACGCTTCTTCTCCATTTTGTGTTAAAGGATTCGGTCACTCAGGGTGTGGTAGCTGAGTCCTGTACTCCATTTCTGATGGCAAAGTTAACTCCCTAGAAGAATTACCAAAGCTGATTGCAAGCCAACCTGTAAGGCAGGGCAACAGGGAAAATTAATTAGACTCACATTTGTGCAAATGCATAGCCTGAAAATCACAAAAGATAAAGACACCTTTAGCGGTCAGAATTAGAAATAATATGGAAAAAGGTGTTCAGATGTTTCATTTAGTAATTTTTCACAAAGGCTCAAGTCTCTTCCTCACCTGCCCAGAGCACGCGTGGAACACTCGGGCATTAACCTGCCAATAGAACAGGCTACAGTGACACCACCTACATAAACTCTACCATCCTTTGTGTAAAGGGAGCAAAGAGAACAAAACAAAGTGCCAGGCCCACAGCGAGGAAAAAGTGCAAAATAAAGTAGTAACACAATAGAAAGTGTCCACAGACACTCAAAAAAAAAAAAAAAAAGCACAGTGGCTTTTTTCCAGTCAGAAATGTGGCAAACGGGAATTCTGCTGTGGTACGTCATTTTACACAAGGAGAATCAAATTCAAACTCTATGCTAAGGGCTGGTAAGGACAAGAGATACACACACAGGGACTGGAAGTTTGCCTCCTGTAGTAAGAGAAAAATCGGCATGAAAAAAAGTATTTCAAATTTTCTTGAGGTGGAATGTGAGTTACTACTCAGAAAATAAAAGCTGGGATTACAGATGTAATAATGTGATGTTAAAGGAAATGCTAGAAGTGTTTTTCAGTGGAGGGGAAGCTTCTTCCCTTTACGTTCCAAGGTGCAAGAAGCATTCAAGAAAAATTGCAATGCTAGGTTTTTTTTTTTTTAAAACTCCAAACATTTAACCAGCAATTGATAGATAAAAAGCCATTAAGAAATGAGTGAAGAGAAATGTTTTCGTCTGGTCTGTTGCACCACGTAGCGAAGCAGAGCAGAGCTATACATTGCTGCAGTGACCAAGACTGAAAAGCAGGAGCCTTATTAAGGGATTCACACTGTTTAGGAGAATGATGGGCTGACCTCACAGCACAACGACAGAATGAATCGAGTCTGCATGTGACACCTGTTACTTCATTTTCATTTAACTTTATTTAGCATTCTTAAGCATTACCTTGTAACAGGGGTAGAATTCCTCTCTCTTTATAGCTGACTGCCAACACCATGACTGTGAACCGCTTGCGATTACAGTTTCCTCTTCAGCCCTAAACTAGGCACGGTTACAGTACATTGACTGCTGATCTTGGCTATGCACTACCTACCATATTATTTGGCTAGTTTATAACCCCTATAGCAATAAAATTAAAAAACCAACTACATAAATGAGCTAAATAAACATTCCTATAGCTGGTAATAGATTGCATGTAAGCACCACGCTTACACCTTCATTCTGTTAAATACCTTTACCGTGAGGAGCTGGACAGGAACCTAAACTGGCCAACTTGTCCATCCCCTAGAACAGCTACGCTTGGAGTTACTCCCGGGTTTTTCTGAAGTGAGGGCACCCCAGACCGAGCAATGGGAACTCCGCAGAGATCGCCGGCGGAGAGAGGCTCAGAGAAGCACCGGCGCGGGGGCAGCGGAGGAGCCGCCCCGTTCAGGGAGCTCTGCCCCTGCCACGGAGGGTGCCCCTGGC